GGCCATTGAAGTTGATTTACTTATTGAAATAAGATCTGGAACAAAATTAGGAATCTTCTTTGGCCAATCCTTCTTAACTATTCCAACCAGAATAGCGTTAAATTTCTTAAGAATAATATCATTTGGATCAGTATTTGCATTCTTAATAATATAATCAAAGACATACTGTCGAATACCACTACGTGTTTCTTCACCCAATAACTGCCACTTTGAATTAATGTTATCATTAAGAATCTGCAATCCAATAAACTTAGCTTGAATAGACCTGGATGATGTCAAAATTGCATCAACCCGCAACCAACTGTTTGAATCTTCTTTGAATTTTAATAGAATCCTTTCAGCTTCATTTTTATTTGGATTAGTTGAATCAAGTGCTTTTCCTACAATTTCATCAAATAAATTTGCGTCAAACTCTTTATTGAAATCTAAAATTCTTTCCATGGGCTTAAAAATTTAATTAAAAATAAAACAATCAATTAAAAGTGATTTTATTAGTTTTGTCATCTAAAACAATTTTATAAATCTATTTATTATTTAAAACGAAAATTAATATTTACATAATGCAAGACCAGACGTACGTTGTTTATAATGAAGATACTGTGATGTTAAATGATTTAGCAAGAAATCAGATTGAATTTGAAGATTTTAACAGGGAAATATCAGGGTTATTTAGTTCTAGAAATAGATTTAGCTCATCAATGGGAAGTTTGTTAGATGTTACTTTGCCAAATGACCAGTTTAAAAAAAGAGCGTTGATATTTATTAATTATTTGTTCCTGGTAGTGTTTCTTTTTATAATTTATTTACTTTCTTAAAATAAACTATTTTATTTCCTTATTAGGCTTCTTAATAATTCAATTTCTGATTTGTAAAGATTTGGGTCTGGTGTTTCTAAAATCATTGGAATGTTTTCAAAAAGTTCAGAATTCATAATAAACTTGAATGGTTCTAATCCAAGTGTACCAGCTCCCAAACTTTCATGTCTGTCTTTTTTAGAGCCCAATTTTACTTTACTATCATTCAAATGCATTCCTTTTAAATACTCAATTCCAACAATCTCATCAAATTTTTTCATCACTGATTTAAACTTTTCTTCTGTTCTAATATCATGACCTGCCCCATGTAAATGAGCAGTATCTAAAACTACCCCAATTCTAGATTTGTCTTTCACATGTTCAAAAATTTTAGGATAATCCTCGAATTCCACACAAATCACACGACCCTGTCCAGCCATGTTTTCTAAACATATAACAACATCATCAACTTTTTTGTGTGCTTTATTAATTAAATCACCTAATATTTTATAAACTTCAGACCCCAACTCTTGAGTATCAGAACCAGGGTGTAAATTTAAATATTTAATGCCTAACTGTTTACATCTATACATATTATCAACAAGATTGTCAAAACTAGCTCCATTCTTATTATTCAAAAGATTTATAATATAAGGA